CGAGATAATCAATGGTGTCCTGAAAGTCAATGTCCATTTCTCCAATGATGTTGGCAATTCATGGATGGTTGCAGTCTTCAAGAACAAAACCTAATGGTTTTTAACGTTGCTGGTCCATTCTGGTCTCATTCTTTTCAGTAAATCGTACAGTTGCGTCGCCAAGATGGCCACGTGGTGCTGCAGCCCTAGCAGCGCTCAAGCGAGACAGATAGCAACAGTTCTCCAACAACTGAGAACCCATCGCACCTTGGCTGTTCCGTTGTTGGACTTTAGTTGTTTTTGAAGTCCAAGTCCAGGTCAGAGATTTTGTGTGTGTGACGCACAGGCTACTGCAGCTAGTTAGCTCATATTTACATGGGTATTCAAAGAGAAGGATATTACAATACAGATATATACAGAATGTGCAGATAGGGCCGTTTGAGCTGCAATGGCTTGGCATGCCTCGCCGTCGGCTTTATGCCATTGGGAAGCATCGCCACCTGCTGGTGCCTAGATGGCACATTGTTGAAATGCGGGGTATACGAGGTGTTTTCAAGTTTATGTATGCTTTCAGGTCTTTCTACGGCCTCCAGCTTTCTCGGTCGCAAAGGAGACCTTGATGTGGTTCGGAACCTACTCGTGATAATGCAGTTTGTCCTGACATGATCAATGGTTAATATCTAAAAAGAAGCTGATTCTACATTTGTTGATGAGGAACGCTTGCTTATGCCCAAACTGCCTCCTCCGATGAAAAAGCACCTCTTTACCAAAACCCCGAAGTTGCGGCATCACATAGAGCCTTGGCATCAGATGAGCACGTCCGAATGAATGAGATGAATCTCAGCGTTCATTGACCTTCAGTCTTCGACATGCAAACTCAGTGGTACATGACAAAGCCGTAGACCATTGCAAGATGTTGCAACAAGATGTAGACATTTTGTGAAATCGATCAACTGTCAACTCTGAGCCTTCTAAATTCAACCATCGATGTTTGTTGAAGATAAGATCCAAGGCCAAGGAAGCCCAGCACCTTTTGGACCTGGCAAAGCTTTCAGGTCCTGAGTCTGTCCAGCAGCCATTCGGACAGCATGCACTTGTGCAGATGGCTGCCTTTTCTAACTAACTACATAAGAGAGGGCGCCTACAACTATACCTGCTAGAATGAGTAGATGCTTCAGGGTGGAAGTCGTTTCCGTGTATCGCTTGGGGAGTGGAGAGTCGGAGCTTAGGATGAAGAGTGCCATTGATCAAGGAGTCGGCCTCAGTTGAACCACAATTCATTCCCTCCCACCACGGAGCACAGACATTGTGGAATTAGAACGAATAAGATGTTGCACCAGGTCTTGGAGTCTTGTGACCTGTATCAGTTGAAGTCAGTTAAGCACTCTCAAACGGCCTTGTGAGACGAGACTCAAAGTCTAGTCACACTATGTCACTCTAGTCTACACCGATGTCCCTCTTTGATGGCATTGGCCATGTTTCAGGGGCCGAAATAGGTGAATGTTTGTGGATTTCTGCAAGCGACCCAGGCCTGGAAGCACTGAACCATGAGGCGGCCACTTGGGCAGGAATACAAAGAGGATCAAAGAGGAACATTGCAGAGGGCAAGATTATATATTGGTGTGCATTAGATTGGGGAGACCTCCAAAGCCCCTAGAAGACCAGCCTACCCATTAGGCCAAGGTGTGTGCCTATTAAAGTATATCAAAATACATACCCATATTTGGACCTTCCTGTGGCACATGACTCACTCCGAGGATTTGCACCCACTGGAGTTCAAACAGTCTCTCCGAGAGCTGGAAATGATTGAGGCAATGACCAAGGCGGTGGCTAGTAGATCGTGCAGTTGGCGAGTTTGCTTACACCTTTTTCATCCTTTTTTCCAGCCACTTCGTCAGGTTGCAATGTGCATTTGCCTTTTGCGTGGTCACGTCTTTGAGGTTGGTTTTCCCATCAGGCTCAATCCATGCCTTGGTGGGCCTTCTGCGGGCCCGAGACTAGCATGCTTCCACGCAAAGATCTTGCAACCTTCCTGTGATGCGAGAGGAAAAAGGATAAGACTGTATACAACTTCCCTGTGACATCCTGCAAAGCAGAGGAACTAAGTGCCCAACTCCGACAACTACTTGGCTGAGCGTCGTCCCAAGGGGGTTCCCAGTGGTCTTGTGTTCTTGCTTTAGATCGTTAGGTTGCGACACGATGATCGCCGCAGCAAGAGCTTAAGCTGCTCAGTGTACTTATAGTGACTAGGTGTGTCCTTTCGATCACTGCAGATTACGCATTCACAACTTTCAAGCATTGCAGCACTCCACAAACAAGGGACGTTGCTCCGCTTAGCACCGCTTACAGCATCTTACAGCAGCGCATAATGACGGCACAAGCTCCGCTGCTGGGAGATTCAGCTACGTGTTGTGACAGGGACTGTCGGAAATGGATCAAGTGGAGGGTGATGGTACTAATACCAACCGGCTCGCATGGAAATGCTTGTGTTCAGTTCTGCTGGCATTTGAGATGGCGGTCTACTTTGTGTGGGTCAAGACCTCGGTTGTTTTGTGTGTCATCGGTGGTGTGTTCTTGATCAAGGCATTGATCGAGATCTGGGGGCAAGAGACAGCCACATGGGTTTGCCCGGCTACCGTGTTCATGCTCGTCGTAGTCTACGGGCCTGTGTGGCCCTCAATTTTCTGCATGTTCGGTTACTGCACTCAGAGCTCAGACATCCAGTTCCTGGGCCGAGACGAACTGGGCTTGGCCCTCTACTTGGGTGGCTCCTTCTACTCCTTGGCCTATGAAGTTGGCCGCTTCCGTTGGAAAGCCAGACCTGAAAACAAGGGCAAGCTACACACAGTTGGCCTGGCCTCCTGGTGCATTCACCCCAACTACTTTGGAGACCTTTTCACTTACACTGGCTGGGGACTTGCGGCAGGCACTACCTGCGCTGTGAGTGTTCCTGTCCTCATGTTTTTTACCTTTGTCCTCGTGGTAGTGCCCAACTCCGACAACTACTTGTCTCAGCGTTATCCCAAGGAGTTCCCAGCATATGCCGCACACACAGCCACGCTCATTCCTGGCTTGCACTCCAAAGTGCTGAGTCAAGTGCTGGCCTGGCTTTGCTTGCTGCTTTGCATTTACTCTTGGTGCTTCAGATGCCCAGGGCCCTGTGGCTACTAGGCCGGTCGCCTCCCGGGAGAAGGCCCTGCTTTTCCGATTTTTCGAGTTAGACTGCGAGGAATGAGTGGGTTCTCTCCCCTCACCTCCCTAGACCCATCATTTGAGATGAAAAAAGGATGAACAGACGACGGCAAGCGGGACGAAGTGCTGAGAGCAGCGGACGATGATAGACCTGACTATAGACCTGAATAAATTGAGAGCCTGGTTTGGGACATGAGGAGAATAAATTCCTTTAGTATCCTTTAGTGACGGATATTTTTGTTGCTTGATGGAGTGGGCCTGACATGCTTCCAGCTTCATGACAATGAGAAAGACCATATTAGCCAACAAATTCCACTTATAAGCTTTTATAGTCACTAGATGTCACTAGTAAGTTTTCCTTTTACCTAATGAAATTGAGGCAACACAACGCAACCATGCAGTCCTGCTTAATAGACACTCTGAACTCTGGAGGTTGGCGACAAACAACATGTATTTGTGTGTGTGTACCATGTAGGTACACATGTATATATATAGTTTACCGTACATAATATTCATAATATTGTATAGTGTGTATATATGTGACTGTGTGCGTGTGTGTGCTTGGACCGCTGCTTTTTGGGCTCCTTTGCATAGATGGTATGTAGGAGGCGCTAAAGTTAGTTCCATACCAAGAGGGAAGAGCGCCAAATTTGTCCTTTGAGGCAAACCTAGGATATGAATAAGGACGGAGTCGGACGGAGTGATGATTTCAAGCACCAACCCGCCCACATGTGCAAGACCTGACTGCGTGAACTTCGTTTGAGTTTGAAAGCCATGGATGACAACAGTGCTGCGGATGCATTACTGAGTCTTGACTTCAAATATTTACGGAAACCGGCGCTGATACTTGGTTCACCGGAAGGGCAGAGCACCAACTGCCTTCCTTTGTCCCATTCACTGTGTAAAGTCCAGATGCAACCCTCCTTGGATTCACAGGGTTGAAGTCGTTCGCCATTGGCCTAATCTCAACAACAATTTTGCAAATGAGATCTCATCAGTGGCTTTGCTTGTTGGAATTGCACAGGACACCAAAGCAAGATGGCAAATCGCGCAGCGAGGAAGAGGATGAGGAACACGACACAAAGGGCCAAGCAACTAAGTCGGCAGATGTTGAAGAAAACTTCAGACCATGTGGACGCCTTTAGCTTAGGATGTTGGCACCAGACAAAACAGTGGGTGCAGCTCTAGCTTGTGACATTTGGTGGTTTGTTGTGCAAATGACCTTCGTTCAGTGAGGATGGTTGTGTTAGATAGCCAGTTTTGCCTCCAGAGGGCTTCAGAACCTATTTTTACTTGGTTTGTTTTTTTTACAATTCCATTGTGGTTCTGAGTAGGCTACACGTGCTCAAAGAAACTTGAAAGCAAGCTCTCTGAGGCAGGTCACCTGAGGGTCCTCAACTACATCCCACTTAGTCTCATCTACGACTAGAGAGCCCCAACCATGACTACTAATTGTTTGTTTCCTTTCTGCCATTTTGGAGCTCCTGGTGAATCAAGTTGCCTTGCCTGTCACTGACACGCAGTTGACAAGGTTTCCGCATCGGGCAAAGCCGCCTAAACTAGCAACGGTTCTATCCCTCTCTCAAGCTGAGGGGCCGGATGATGAATTGGTATAACGGGATCAAACCCATGATATGGGACAAGTGGAATAACATTTCAAGTGAGGGAATGGCTTTCCCGTGCGGCAAGAGCAGACATCTATATACTTATGTTTTTTGTTGACTGAAATTACAGTCTCGGATTATGTTTCTGAGGTGCCACCAACTACGAAGAAACCCACCGATCGAGGCCGAGGCCAACAAGGGATAGCAGGGCAAAGACCGATAGATATGTCACAATGCTTGCCAAAGGCCGTTGCTGCCGACTTATGTATGCTTATGGATGACAGGCAGACCTTAGCAATTGCCAATTGCGTTGCCACACTTCCGAAGCAATACACACCTGTGAGTTTGCATCAAAGTGAATCAAACATGTGCGTTTCACATAAATTACACAATTGTCACGAGTTTGTTGGAACAAGGCATGAAATGATGTTTGCTGGATCAACTCGATTGCGATCAGGTTCGAAGCGCCCACCAACTCATGAAAGCGATCCTACAGTTAGCCCTACGACTGGGCGGGGTCGTGGCTTGGCATGAAGAATAGCTTCATACATGTTTGCCGCCGAAATCCATGTTTTTTACAACGTAAACGGGTGCGGTCAAAGGTCACAAGAAACATGAAAAATGTTTGGGCATGCAATTGGTACTCTAGACATATTCCTAGATTCAATTCTACAACGTGTCAGCTAGGAAAGCGTCAGACGCTCAGCTCTGACGCGGTGCCAGAGACGGAGGAGGCAAGCCAGTGGTCGGTTGTGAGTCTTTCAGTCGGGTGCTATCAGACAGAAATTGTTGAGACTTGATGACTTGTGCGTAATTAAGTCAGATAGAGTCGAAGATTTCCGGATGAAACACAGATATTCCAAAACAGTTTTCAGTTAGGCAAAGGATCGCGAGATCCGGCGCTTGCAGCACCTTGGCAAAGTACAAGAGTATATGATATATGAGTCCAAAAGAATTTGCGTGGCCAAGACTGGTGCTAATCTTGGAGTGTGGAGACAACCCAGCCCACACGCATCTACGAGTCGAAGATTTTGCTTCGTGCCAGCGTTTGATCCCACACCGAGGCAAGAGTTGGCAGATCAAAAATCGCAGATGCAAAACCTGCATGTTCTTGCAAACAAAGGCCTGGCAAACTTGCTGAGAACACGCACGTAGCACTGCCAGAAAGAATGTCGAAAAAGGCTGAAACTAACAGGTTGATTTGGTATGAATTTCAATGTGTCAACGTGTTGGTGTGCGTGCATAATTGTGATCAATTGTATATATATATATTATAACTATATGCACAATAACCTACTGTGTATATAAATATATATAATACTGGTCCTGCAATATATATGGGAGTTGATCGAACATTTATGTAAAACAGCCTTTCAGATGTTGTTAGAACCATCCGCGAAAGATTCGCGATGAGGTTCGCGAAAGTACCTTTTTTTCCGCGCAAGATTTATCGAAGGTTTTCATATGTTTTCCTTTCTACCAGACTGACCAAGAATAGGAATACAAGGCAATCCTCCGGCAGAGCCGATGGGCAGAAGTGTCCCCATATGTCACAGACTAACGAACTGAAGCCTCAACATTTCCGTGCCCAGTCCTGGCAGTACGTAAAGGATTCTCCGAATTCTCCGATTCCTGCAGCTGCTTTGACGGGCTGTGCAGATGTTTGCAAAAGTTACGGCTTCCCGGGGGAAGCATCAGTGAAATGTTGCGAATGATCCGGTAAAAGTTTCGCGAATGCGCCGCTAAAGTCCAGGTTCCCAGCTTGAGGCCCCCCAACTTTTACTAAGCTGCATCACTATGTGTGGGTAGCTGGCACGAGGATTGGGTTGAGTTGTGCCTGATGCTATTTGGCACAACTGTCGCACAGATGCCGCATGTGACCTTGAGTAGCTGTGGAAACGTTCAAGTTTCTACTGGGGTCATGCTGCAAGACGTCCGTCCCTTTTTTGTGATACTATGACATGTTCCGGCTCATGGTAACTAGACATGGTTGTGGAACCATGCTTCGCGATGAGGCCGCGAAAGATATTTTTCCACGAAGAATGGCCATTCCAAGGTGAAAGAATATTGATCTACCACCACTTATGCAGATATCCATTATTTTCACACATGTGCTTCTCAAAAATGTTTTAATGAAGTGCGACCCCAGCATGAAACACTGGCAGGGCGCACTTTGCTGGCTCAGAGCTTGGTCGACATTGCCAAGATCGAACGAGTGCCTTTAGCGTGTTGCATTATACACATCCAACTCATGCACTTTTCACATGCGTTTCTAGGCCATGTGTGCGTTCTATGGTTTGGAAGCCAACACGGGCCGATGAACCAAGGAAAAGGAGCGTACCCGCCTGTTCCATGAAGGAGTTCGAGCTGCTTGGCGTTGCTTATATACAGTATACTTCTTTTCGTCGTTGGATCCATTTTGCGGCCTTCGCTAGGTTGGCAAGTACAAGCCTTCCCTGGCCTTTGGGCAAGCTGATGGCTGGGAGGGTGGTACTGAAAAAGAGGCCATCGAACAGCTGAAAGCCAAGCTGAACCAGGAGCTTCTGCGCGCAACAGCTTTGCAATGCAAGGGTTAGTCCAGTTCTGTGGCAGTTTAGTGACCAGTTTGCAAGCGTAGTCGTAAGTTTAAGGAAAGGGTGCAGTAGACTAGTAGACTGGGCAGTTGCATCCCAGATTTGCAAGGAGAAAGTATCGGTGGAATTCGAACGCCGATCTCTTCAGAGGCAAATCAAGAAGGCAAATCGCCCGCAGAATCATGTTGTGTCATGTTGTGGATTAGTGGGTTTTGCTTGGGATGCGCAACTCTGACAAACCTACAGGTTTGTGCCCACCATCGCTGAGAGCTGCCAATTAAATTCCCAAGGTATACTCGGTATCTTAGCAACAAAATGACAAAATGGTTTTGATACTGAAATCATGTGCAAACCTCAGGTGTGGAGCAATGGTATACGCAGAGTTAGCTGTTGAACCCTGCCTTGTTTGTGTGCAGGCTGTTCTTTGTGCTGATGATCCAAGTCACAAGTGGTGCTGATACTTTTTCCTACTTCGCACAGAGCAAACACCCAGAACGTCCACAATTTAGAAGATTGGGCGGTGTGTAATTTTCAAGTGCAAGATGCTAGGAGTGTGCCGCCAACTGCAAACTGATGCTGTAAGGGCTGCCCTAAATGAGTACACTTCAAAAAGGAAAATTGAGGAGCGAGAGGCATTTGGGCATGGCAGCCTGCTACTGCCTTCAAAAGTAACCTTTTGTATCCTTTTTGTATATGCAGCTAACACCAATGAAGCCTCAGAATCGAGACAAGATTAGGCATGGCTGCCGCAAAAAGACTGGTCCGACTGCTGGAGCCAAATGATACTGGAATGATGCTTATATAGCTTGCTTTGTCACGATCCAACCTTGCTTTGGGCTTTCTGGTCTATGGCCATTGTGTGCCGCTCCCTTTCGTTTGTAAAGCAGGGGTCATTGCACTTTCCCCCTCAGGAAAAGGGTCCAAATCTGGTTTTCTTTGGAGGTTGCTTCCCTGCTGCTTAAAGCACCTAGGGAGTTGGAAGAACAAGAGGAGCTCCTTTTGCTCACCACAGCGCCACAGCGCGTTTGCGTGAGAAAGGACCATCGACCATCGAGCACCTATCGTGCGCAAGAGATACCGAAACCTCAAGGGTTCAACGAGAGCCCATTTTTTTTGTTTTCCTTTCTCCTCGAGGCCATCGAGCCGGACGACGGGGAAAAGGACGCCCAATCAAACCCTACGGAGGATCCAGATGACCCAACAGAGCTTCGAGAAGTGTGCAACCATCGCGCCGAATACATCAGGCGAAGCGGGAAACAGAGTCCAGACGACTTGGTTTCCAGATGACTTGGTGCAGAGTTTGGGATTTGCAGATGTTAGAAGATATATGTTGCAGATGTTATCCACGTTTTCTGAAGTAGAGCCTGTTTCCTAACATTGTCAGAGGATGGAATCACAAAGACGAAGACTCGTGCTGATTGTTGTTGTTTTTGCATGATGCTGCCTTTTGCAACTAGTAGAGTCTTTGAGTTCCACGCGTTCATTGCATGTTCAGGCGCGAAGAAGCAGCCCTCAAAGAGCGAGAAAACCGGTTGATGGCCGAATCAAGCTTAGTTGTGAAGCTGATCAATTGCTGTTCATCACAATCGTTCCATATCTCGGGGTCAGCTTCAGACCTTTCTACCGTCAAGACACATGCACTGTAGCACACTCTTGGTGAGAGGTTTTGGGTACTGCAGGATGCTTTCTTTTGCATTGTGGAACTGCAGCCAAGGACAGGACGCTCTATCAAAAGCAAGTGCTGCTGGCCAGCACTGAAGACCGTTCCCGCTTTAGATTTTATCCCAGACTAAAGGACTGCTAACATTGGCCGCAGAAAGCCCAGACATGAGATGTGACACATGACATGAGATTGTCCTGTGAGTTTTTTGCTTCGTGCGTTTCACAGGACAGATTTCAACTGCTCAATGCGATTGGCAAAGGAGGCTTTAGCGAAATCTACAAGGCGTTTGATTTAGAGCAGATGTGTGGCCAAGCTTCTTCCAGTCGAATATATATTTTATCATTGTTAGGGTTTTTTGTGTGTGTTTTTGCTTGCTCTTGATTGACCCCCTCGGCCTCCCCAGCATTTTAGAAAGTGCCATGGGGGTACAGGTCCAATGTTGATTTGCACTTGATTAGACTAAGGCATGTGCGCCATCAAGATTCAGGAAATTGAAGCAAAGATGTCAGATGCACAGCGGCAGGATTTGGTGAGATGGGCCCTTAGGGAATGCGAAATACAGAAAAGTTTGCGGCATCCTCGTACCGTGGTTGCACGGTCTTGCGCGTGCGTAAGCGTGGCATCGTTGCTGGCACAGCCCGCGCATGGACTTGGAACATGCGTATCGATGTCCAACAGACCTGTATCGATCTACAGTCTAAAGGATTCTGCCAGCTGTTTAAAGGAAACTAAAAAACTCTAATATATGCATATATATATGATATATGATATAGTATGTCCATACATTCAAGCCTCGTTTTGTCAGCATTAGGCGCTTCGCGTTGGCATTCTCATTAGCCTTTGTCCCTTTTTGCAAGGCATTGTACAGCTACGCGAGTGCTTCGCTTTGGACATTAATGCCTTCGTCATCGTCCTGGAGCTATGTCAGGGAGAGACACTGGATATGAGACTCAAGATGCATGGGCCCATGCCTGAGAAGGAGGCCAAGGCCATTACGGTCCAGATCCTGCCTCCCGGCAACAAGCCCTTTCCAAATCTTCAGAGCAGTGTGCTTTGCTTACGGATCCCAAGTTTCCACACAATATCACAGGAATGCACAGTTGGCAGCCTGGCTTGTCCCAGTATACTCAGGAGTGGCCTGCGGCACTTGAACGTCTCTGGTCGGAAGATCATCCACTATGACATCAAACCATCAAATGTGTTTTATGATGCTGGACAGGCTTTGCAAACGTGTGAGAAGTGGGAAAGGCAGAAGAGTCTACCTGCTTAAAGGACTGTGACTTTGCCCACCACACCAAGCTAATCAGATATCCTTGGAAGTCAAGAAGGTTTCATGACATTCAACTTTAATACTGATTCATATTGTCCTGCACAGTTTTCCTGTTCAATGACGCCCGAGCTGATTCGGTTGCAGCGGACGTCAACCCGGATACGTGACACGACGCAGGTGAAAATTGGAGATTTCGGCCTCTCAAAGATGGCAGACAGTCAGAAACCCATGACATGAAGTCAGACGGACCAACATGTTTCCTCAGTATGTCACCACAAAAAGGGGATGTAAGGGTACATCCCTTGTCTTCAAGAAACTCAACTCAGTTGATTGACACCGGACTACTATGGCCTACTATGACATGATAGACACTACTATGGTTTACTTGCGTAAACATGTGGCCCAGCCCTGCCCTCGATCCAACGCGACGACTGCCCAGGTCCAGAGGGCATGATCGATTTATCGACGCGCGGAGCCGGAACATCCTGGTGCGGTCCGGCGTCCGGTTCGGCTCGACGACATGAAAGCCTTGGCTCTTGGTTTGCAAGGGGCTTTTCGACGAATAAGTCAATGGAACATCTGGAAAGTCTAAAACCTTATATATATATATAAACTTATTGTGTTTTGCATATACAGCGCGAGATCTTTACATATACTGTATATATATAATTTAGTTTACCCGTGGATTTCCTCTGAGATACTGCGATTATTGCAAGATCCAAGTTTTATTCATTGCCAGTATAGATGCTTGGATGCAGGTACTTGCCACCGGAATGTCATGAATCCGCATCGCCCACAATAAACAGCAGTTTGGCTGCACTGGGCGCACGGATGTGCAAAGGAAGTTTAGCAAAACTCCTGTGCATCTTCAGCAACAACAGTCGTGGAAATCAAATTAGCAGAAATCAAACGCAAGAGCACGAGCCTTCAGAGCAATTCCAATTTGTCCTTCACTGCACGGTTCTTTGCTTGCTCCAAGGCAAAGTCGATGTCCATTTCTCAGTTGTCTCAGCTACGTCTACGTCCTTTTTTGTCAAGCCTCAAGCCACTGATTTTTTTGTGCCTTAGGTCTGGAGCACAGGGGTGGTCTTTTTTGTGCCTTGGCACAAGGATATTGTTGAAAGCAAAGCCACACAGGTTTGTATGCAGACATTAGATTTACAATAGTATAGAGCGAACTATGTATAGTCTAACAGCGTGTATTCACGTTGATTTAATCTTCAAGCGGCTGTTTACCGCATGAATCATGACAGGATCATAGTCTTTTAGAATGACAGCTGCATCCTGGCCGCTACACGTGGCTCCAGGTTTCTTTTTTTCTTGGTGTGATGCATTCTTGGCCAGTGGTGTGGCCAGGATGAGCTTGCACACTACGCAGGAGTGGGCGCAAAGCGCCCAAGTAAACATGCATCAAGCACAAGCTGCACACAGGAGGGCAATCGATCAACAAGATCGCTCCAGCAAGGTGCATGAAGAGGTGATGTCCAGCAGTTTGTGCACTTTGCCAGCTTTAGACCGGACCTTCTTTCGTTTGTTTGCAAGTCCCACACTGTTGTGCACTTAGTTGGGATGTATGCATGTAGCAAATGATACATTGTAGTAGCCGAGGTATGTATGGCGAGCTGCACTCTTCCTTGGAAAAGAAGGTGAAGATTTCCCAGCGGATTTTGGAGAAGCTCCATCATCGTGCGCAATCAGTGGAGAATTCCTTGCAGCATACAAGGCAGAGCTTGGTAAAGGTAGAGGAAGCTTTAGAAATGAAAGAGGCACCACTCACTCTGTGCACCTGGAGAATGGAGCAGCGAGAACGGAGACCTTTGAGAGAGCAGGTGCGTGACACGGCAGAGGTGTGTCTTGAGCTGGAGAAGGCTACAATAGTCGATGCCCAGAGGAAGCTTAAAGATTTTATGAAGAGAACGAGGGCAACAATTCAGACCCTGGAAGCTAAGCTTGATGAGCTTCGCCATGACATCCAGCAGAAGACGCAAGCATTGTCTGTGGATGAACTTTGTTTGCGGACCACCTCCAGAAGTCTTGAAGCTGTGTCGAAAGACAGTCCTAGTCCAAATCCACAGATAGACTCGAGAAGTAGCCGTGCGAAGCACAAGCATACAGGAACCCAAGTGTCAAGGCTTGAAGCTTCTTCACATGAAAGTTCTCGTAATGAGGTTCTTCGACAGCAAGCAGCCGTGCGATTGAACCAATCAGCTGTAAGCCGGGAGTTGGCGGCAAAGGAGCTTCGAGAAGAGGCACAGAAGCTGATCCAGTACACTGCAAAGGCTGTTGAGGAAGCCGTTGCCAAGACAGAGAAATCCATGAAGGAGCGAGTAAATGCAAACCAGCAGATGAGGAGGCGCTTGGAGACAGAGCTTCGAGAGACTTGCAGTCAAATTGATGTGACCAAAAGCACGATCCAAGACACCAAGACGCAGATTCGTTCCTTGGAAGAGCCGATGGAATTGATTTCAACTTGCGCGTCCTGGCGCAAACAACGGGTTGGCAAAGAGCAAACTCTTGATCCTGTGACCACCACACTGCAGGAACGTCAGATGATGCTCTTGAGGTGTCATGAGGACTTGAGGCAGCACCAGCACAATGAGAAGAATGTTCTGCAAGAGATCCTCAGTTGAACGCAAGAGAGTTGTGCTATGTTGTGCTCAAATGTATTATTGTTACAATGTGCTTCGAATCTCAACATGTTCACAACAATACATTCCGGGTCACCAACATGGAAGTCAGATACGCCTTCTGACTTGTTGTGAAGCAATCGCTAGTCTTTGGCCCCTGCATCATGCTGCACCCCTCCTTGATTTTATCCAGCATCGGTGCTTGCACCGCTGAGACGCCAGCCGCAACAAGTTGAGTTGGTCACCGACTTGTTCAACCGGCTCTGGTCAAGAAGGGCACATGGTAATTTCCAAGCAGGTGTAGAATGTAGAAGTGTTAACATGCGTTCGCCAAATGAGTTTTTCCTTACTTTCGCAAGGGAGGAAAGCCTTCAAAAACCTGAAGCCAACACAGTGATCCCCCTGTTCACCCATCCTACCCCCGGTCATCCCTCCACCTCGTCGGTGGCATTCACCTCTTTGAGTAGGGCATCGAGAAATGGCCACTGCAAGATAATGGTAGCCTGGCGTTGCGGTTTGGCATCGTTGTGCAATTTCGACGGAAATCCCATGGTGACGCACTTTGCAACCGATCCATGGCCTTTTGCGCAACCCGCAACCCACGTGAATATGAGCAGCTGAGGCTGGTGGAGAAGAGGGAGCAGCTGAAAGAGGATCTTCAAGACAAGACCTCCGCTTTGCATATCGACCTCAACTGCGTCACCCATGAGGCCATCAATGGTAAGCCGAAGCCGGGTCTCAACCGCCAGCGTTTGCCAAAGGCCATGAAAATGGATCCCACCTTCTTGCCCGGCGTGCAAATGCCGCTCACGGCTCGATGAGCCTTCACCCAACGGCAAGGTTCACCGGGGTGGGGCTGCAGAGCTACATGTGTTCCAGAAGTTGCTGCAACAAATTGAAAATCAAGAGCGAACATTGCAAGCTGTCCGTACATATCGTATATATATTTGTGCCTGTTGTGCATTCATCTACCAAAGCTGTTTGCTCCCAGCCCTGACGTGAGTAGTATACAAGTGGAGGTCTTTTTTGCTCCCGACAAAGTCGCAGGAGCCGTGCCGACCACTGTGGTGGGAGATGAAAAAGAGATGATGAGAAGAGACGAAGGAAAACACACTACTCGTAGTTAGAAGCTACTAGTAGCGATGCCCTTGTTACTAGTAATGTAGCGATGCCGATGCCCTTGTTCCTAGTAGCTTCTAACTTGTTGAGAAGAGACATTGTTACATTTGTTGACTTAGGATGACCAGCTTTGTAATCTGTGTTTGTGGTTGCCCTGGCTGCAGCCAGAGTTTCCAAGGAAATGCTTTACAACCGTCGTCCCTTCGGCGAGGGCCAGACACAGGACGCATTCCGGCGTCAGACGGCGGTGGAAGGCACCTTCGATTTGGTGGCTTGTCTCGGTTCAGCTTCTCATCGACCTTGGAGGGATGAGTTTGGGTGAAAGCAGGCAGTGCTTTCGAGGGGCCAGAAATGGGTCTTCTTGGCTCCAATAGGGCGGGGATGTACTATGATGTACTGGGCAGAATTTTGTTGGATTACCATTCTACATCATGACAAAGATTCAATCTTCCTACACTTCTCCTCGTGTGGTTCCCCCCCCTCCCTTCTTTTGGTTGGATATTTGGCTGAACCAACTTTAAACAGGAATTTGCCGCCAGCAAAGGCTCCCCAAAATGATGCCAGGCTATTCCAGGTCGGCAGGTGCTTGCTTTGGCTGATGAGAGCCAAGGTCTTTCCAACATCGCCCAAGGTTTCCTCAGAAGCCATCAAGTTCCTGCGAGCCTTGGCAGAGTACAGTTGTTTTAAGCAGAGGCAGATCCCTTTTGCGAGAATAGTTTGAAGCTGAGCTGCTGCTGTTGTTTGGCACTGGTGTGAAAACAATTATTGTGCTAGCTTCTAGCTGCCCGTCTTTGTGAGCAAGGATTGACCGTGATTGACATGTAGCCAGTCTTGCCAACTTCGTCATACCCAGTTCCTGACAGGCAAGCTTCTGACTCGAGACCGAGAGCAGAGGCCAGATGTACTGGAAGCCCTTCGGGATCCCTACATTCGCAAATCTTGGAATGATCAGTCTGCACGTAGTCGCAAGTCGGACCTGACGAGCCCCAAAGTCTCCGCAACGTGACCTTGAACGACTAGGTCAGAGGCCCTGGGTCATTGGCGAAGTCCTCCCCCAAAAAAGGTAAATGAATGTTTGGAGACTTTGGCCGTTGCGTGCGTCTCTTCCCAGGGTCCCTGCACTTCAAAAGGGAACCACTTGCTGTGCGAGTCGTTTTCCAGTTTATATGGCAGAACACTTTGAAGGGACATCTTGGGTCTCCCGGCCAGGCTAGGAAGCGTCCTGCTGCAAACGGGTTCGATTGTCCCACCTTTTTCCGGGACCGAAGTCAGTGCTCAACAGAAAATCTGACAGAAGAAAGGGCTGAATGGCAAGCCATCAAATCTTGCGCCATCCGTTTTGCGCCAAGACGTCCCTTCATTTTCATATAGAATTCAATAGGGACATGTGCTTGCTAGCGGTCATCCGACACCAGCACTGCGCATGCCATAGATTTGGCTGCGGCCTTCTTCTGGTCCAATGCAGAGATGCCAACTTTGAACAACTTTGCAGAGATGTTCAATGCTCAATTTGTATGAGACAATCTAGTGACTGTGGAATGGCATGAATCTTCAGACATTGCATTTCAGCTTTTGGCCAACGCTTTTTTGTGGGAAAGTCCTACCCAAGTCCCGTGTTGGATTTGGTATGGCTACCATTGCTGTCTCCTTGCTTGGAGGTAGTGGGGTTGAAATCGGGTACTATCCCGATCGGGAATTACTGATTACCACGAATATGGAGTCAAATTGAAACAGGCTCAACCATTCCCCAAGGAATCGAAATATCTAGATTAATTGTGATTTATGTATTTCAAAAAATAAATTGAAGATATTATATATGTGTTGTCAAAATTGCATTGGACCCGCTGTGCGGGTATCGACTTTCCACCCGCAGACGAAGACGAATTACCCCCCGAAGACGAATTCCATTAAATTCCCATCGATCAAATCAAATGAAATTACTACTACCACGACGACCACGACCACGACCTCGACGGCGACGGCGACCACGACCACGACCACTACCACTACCACGACCACCACCACCACCACCACCACGACAACAACAACTGCTAATACCACTACTACTACCAGGACTACTACTACTACTACTACGACTACTACGACTACTACTCCTACTCCTATACTACTGGCTAACCAACTAACAACTCAGTCAAATTACTTTCTAACGAACCAACTGACTAACTAGCTAGCTAACTAATTAACTAGGTAAGCTAAACTTAATGAACTAGTCAACTAACTTAGCTATATCAACTAAGCTAACTAACTAACTGACTGACTGACTGACTGGCTAACTAGCTAACTAACCAACTGAGTAACACTAACTAACTAACTAACTAACTAACAAACTAACTAACTAACTAGGTAACTAACCAACTAACTAAGCAGACTAACTAACTTAGTTACGAACCTTCTTTAGGATCTCAAACTTGGAAGCTGAATAATATATCATCAAAGTTGTTGGAAACCTCAGTTTACCACCCTTTGTATAGCTCTACCTACTCCACACTTGTGATTAGACTTGCCGTGTCACATCTTCATCTTGGGTGTACCCCACTTTTGACTCAAGCGCTGTAAAAAGGACGCCACGGATATTCACTGGTGTTGGCTGTGCCCATTGAACTAACAGGATAACAGCCTCATCCGGATAGCTGGATTTCATATTTCGAGGATACCACTTGTTTGAACCCAGGTGTAGTCCTCACTACATAACCCCAATCGATTCCTTGTTGTCAGCGCACATATCGGGCTGAGTGTTCGTGCAAAGGTACTTCGATCAGTGAAGCACAAGAAGCCAAGCTTTCCCGCTGATGACTGTTTGGGCCTGGGTGGTCGTCTGCATCTCTGCAGCCCCATCCATTAGGGAACCTCCATAACTTGGTAAGTAAGGTGATCGCAGTCCCTGTTGAGCCTCTACTTGTACTCACACCTACACGCTTGGTCGTCTGCACCCCTGCAGCCCCAGGCATATAACTAACAACGAAGTAGGTTCTCAGTCCGGCATTTTGCTTGGTTGATCTCTTCTCCTTGCATAGCAGTAGAGTTCGTGACCCTGGGAATATACAGCGCAAGAGTGGGACATCTGACAGCAGGTTTTGGAACTCAAGCCCAGTTGGCAGAATTGCACAAAGAGAATGTGAAGAACTTACGGGGTTTGGAGAAGGTCAGTCAAGTCCACAAAGGTCTGACAGATTTGGCTTGGCAATTCCATAGTGGAAGCCGAGACTCCAAGTCGGAAATTGCATTATGCCACTGCGGCGTCCACCCTCTCCACCGACTCCTAGGGTCGGAAATTGCATTATGCCACTGCGGCGTCCACCCTCTCCACCGACTCCTAGGGAGCGGTGGACGCCGTCGGGAAGGTTTCCTTGACGCTCATCGTCGCAACATTGGAACTCGCAGGGGGGAAGACACGCGAGCGCCGAGACTCGTGCGATTCATCGCTGCATTTTCTCGGGTGATTGCTACGCTGTTTGCAAGCCCTGGGATTGATGCCTGGGTCTCCGGATCGCTCAAACCGATCAATAGCCGTTTAAAGACTATTTTTGGTTTGGAACTGGCCTGAGGATAAGATAGTGCTTCCTGGGTTGTGTAGTTGGGTGTTGGCAGAGGGCATTAATCAGCCCATTGAGATTGAGTCGGAGCCTGAAGTTGAGACAGTGGTGCCTCATTCGGAGGACGACGAGAGGCCTGCAGAAAGTGAGACTGTAGAGAATCCACTCGTTGCTCCGGAGTGATTGCGGGAACTGAGGGGGGGAGCACGTCCTCTCCGCAAAGCTCAACGTCAGGTCCAGGCCAGCCCGGTGGCAATCATACAGATCATAGATCATTATAGATCCCATTGTTGCGAAGGGCCACTCCAGAAGTCGCTGAACCAAGTCAGTTGGGATCGCATCAACGCAGAGGAGTATCATCAAGGGCAGTGCGGTTGACGGACAAGCCCATCATCTGAATCGACTATTGCCAGGTGTTGGATCGGGTGAATTTGAGTAGAAGAAGTTGTCTCAGGAATCAGGGCGCTTAGCTTCATCCACGAGCGGTTCAGAGAAGTATCGGCTCATCATCTGTTCATATTGTCACGCAGCAGAGCTCGTGTTCGGGCCGCTTGTACTCCAGTGAGTGCAGCGCACTACGCGGCAATCTCGTCTTTGATTGGTCAGCGGGCGAGCGTGGAAGCTGTGAGTGCGTATCACATCGACGACTCTGATCAAGTCTTATTTGAACTGAGGGCATCTCGTCAGATTGAATCCTTGGGTCTCCGATTCACGTACAAACCAAGCCAAAGGTTTGCGCGCCAGGCGCCAGGTCGAATATTACAACAACGTGTTTTAGGCCTTGGAGTGGTTTGACGGCCGTGAAACGGCCTTGGGACAGGAAAAGCAGTCATCGTCGCGTGCTTGGCGCTGGTTGTTTGCATCAGTTGCAGGTCCGGGCACTTGCTATGGTTGGGTTAAGACTCAGATGGAGACATCTGTGACATTGTAAGTAGCAGGTAATGAATAGTATGTAATATAACATGTACCCGTGACCGCTTGATATGGTTTGATGCCTTGTGTTAGGTGAAAATTGAATGTCCGCTTCTTGTCTTAGGCTTACGTCATGTAAGGGGCGCCAAGGGCGATTTTGTGGCTGCAAGGACGCGCCATCAAGGAACGAGTCGTCAGAATGCGCTATTAGGGGGGAAGGCCTCGTTAATTACAAATGTGTCGTGAGGGAATGGTATCAAAATGTCGGAAATGCGCTCCGATTAATATAATAATGTATTTATATATATTTTGGCGGACGATCTATTAGGTAGATTTTGAATGATTTTTTATTATAGATATAATATAAGTTAATTATAAATTTATTGAGCAAAAAATTGTTTTTATATATATTTAGATTTGTTTAAATTGAAAAATTACAAATATATAGTATATTATAAATAATTCACGAAAGCTAGCGAAGCTAGCTGGAGTTACTCTTGCGATAGCAAGGTTTCTTTCGACCGGGTGCAAATCCTAACCCCTGATTTTTCAGGTCGAAGACCCCCCCCATCCCCCTCCCCCTTCCGCCTCTCCTCTCCTCCTCCCCTCTCCCTTCTCCCCTCTCCCTACCCTACCTCCCCTCTCCTCCTCCTTGTCTTCTTCCCACCTTCTCTCCTTCTTTCCCTCTTCCCTCTTCGCAAGTTCGACTCCGTCTTGTCGTTCTTTGGCATACGGTTAGCGTTGCGTATCTTCATCTCTCTCATTTCTTTTATTTCTCTTATCTCTCTCATCTCTCTTATCTCTTTTATCTCTTTTATCTTTTTTATCTCTTTTTCATCTCTCTTTCTTCGTTTTTTGTCTCTCGTCTTTCCGTCTCTTTTTTCTTTCTTCTCTCGCAGGAGGATCTAGGAAAAGAGCCATATATAAAGGACTCTTCACCCTTGCCTCCAAAAAGAGCGCCGTGTTTTTTTCTACCTCGCTGCTCTCCACTTTTTTATTCTGGAGCGTTAGCTTTCGCTCCTCCCTTGGCCTTAAGTTTTATTTATATTATACGTATATTAATTATTTTTATTTGGTTTCGTTATATATAAAGATTTAATATTATGGGATAATGAATTTTTAATAATATAATCTTTGGATATGTTTAAATATTTAATATGGTATTGTTAGGATTTATATACGATTTTTTGCATTTATATATATTGTAGCAACTCGAAAGATTTTTTGTTTTTTTTTTTTTGAAATGAAATATATTAATGGATTTCTTTCGTATTGAGGTCCATGTATTGATTTTTAGCACTAGCGTCGTAGGTAGGGATGTTAGTTGGTTTTAATATCGAGTGGTGCCTATTGTGTATTATTTTGGAAATGAACCTGGTAGTGGCTATTACTAATGTTTTTTTCTTAGCTCGCGAAGCTCCTGGTTGATTGATGGTACGACGACTATTAGGTGTTTAATAGTTGATCCAATCCGCCATTTAGCCCATTTGTTCTGGTTAGTTCCGCAAAATAATATGAATTTGTGGTGGCGGAAATCCAT